AACGAGCATTGGAGGAGCCATTGACGGGCTAGGCAACTGAAGGTTTAAGAGCCTACAGACTGAGAGGAAGGGTAGGAGGCTGATTTACTCGCATAAATCAGTGGTTCCCAAGTCCCTGCTGTGCTTCAGAATTATCCTTGCATTTGTTAATAATAGATGGTCAAGCTGCTCCCCTGTTGATTTTTATGAAGTGGATTTGGAGTAGGGACAGCTATCTTAATTTTTAAATAAACTTCATAGATGATACTGATCGATAGCCAGATTTAAGAAATGCCTGTGTGATAGCCCATGGCAGGAAGTTTAAAGATCTCAGTTGGGTTCATGGATATTCAGAGAGAAGTGCCTAGTGTCAGGTCAGAAGATGCTAGCGTCCACCAGGTTCAGCCGAGTGTGAACTGCTGAGGCGATTTTGGAAATAAATGTAGAAAGCCCAGCGCACTTGGCTAGTTATTTGAGATGGAGCCCAAGGCAGTCTGTGTTAATATAAGGGCCAGTGAGACAGTGCTGCTGGTGTATTTTAAGGCCCCAAACATAATACAGAGGAAGGAAATGTCTCCAGGGTTTGAAGGTATTGGTCCCCTTCCCTATGTTGCAGAGCTTTCCTTAGGCTGATTTTACTTGTTCTCACACAACCTGAAATAATCAGTCTCCATAGCCTGTGATGCACGTGAGGCTACATTAACACTTACTGTTTAAATCCTCGCCTGCAGATATGTTTATTGATTTTTAGAGAGAGAGGAAGGGAGAAGGAGAGAAGAGAGGGAAACATGGACGTGAAAGAGATATACCAGTTGGTTGCCTCCTGTGTGCATTCGTACTGGGGATTGAACCTGTAACCTAGGTATGTGCCCTGACCAGTAATCGAACCCACAACCTTTTGGTGTACGGGACAATGCTCCAACCAACCAAACCACTTTACCAGGGCCAGAACACAATGGATTTTATTTACCTTCTGTCTTACTAGGAATTTATTCCCTCAAAATTGTCCCACAGTTACCTGGGGAGCCTACTTACCTTGTTCAGCTCTGGTCTCTTCCTCACCAAGCTTCCACCTGTTATTGCTTTTCAAGGGAGCCCTTCTCTGTGGGCACATCTGTCTTCCCAAGTTGCCAAGGCTGGCCTGTGGTCTGTGGTAGAGGGTAGAAGGGTGAATGAGCCTCTGCCCAGCCCTGTGCTGGTGCATCCTCTGGGCTGAACCGGCACTGCTGATGCCTTGACTCTCATTCGTTTAGACATAGCTCCTTCAACATCAGACCCTTACCCTTTTCCCATCCATTTCCCTCCGCAGTTTGATTGAATGAGTGAAAAAGTGGAGATAATGGAGGATAACAGATGCCATTCTATCTCCTTGATTAATCTACTGATTCATTCATTCAGTGATTCAGTAGTTACACTGAGCACCATGTGTATATAAATTAGCTTTTGAGTCTAAACATCTAAGGTCTCTGGCATGTGGGCTCTAGAAGCATAGTAGTTATGTAATATAGTCATTCTCACACAAAGGAACAATTGACCTATGCAGATGGCTTAGACTCCTGAACTATGAGTGCAGAGAAATTTTCAACGTCTTCTGGCACAGAACAAGTGGAATTAAAAAACCATTTATTAACTACAGACACATTTTAATCATGACTAATGATTTTAGACCCTATGTCAACCATTTCTAATAAAAAATAAAAATGAGAAGTTAATTCTGATTTCAATTTAGGCCAAGCTTTATTATTTTAGGAAAAAATGTATGATGCTATAGTTTTATAGTCTATACACTCCCACAGGGAACTGATCTACTCACCCAGCTTTAAATGTCACTCTGATGCATATGACTCCCAGATCCTATCTCCAGTCTTATCCTTTCTTTTGAGTTTGAGTCCTGATTTCCCAATGAAAGCTTCAAACTCAGCATGTCTGCTGTTGGGGAAACAGCACAGGTTTTTGTATCTGAGTGAAATTCATTTGAAATTTGGTAGGCATTTTGCCTTCTTATTTTCATGATTTGCTTTCTGGTATTAAATTTGGTAGAACTTTCAGAATAAAAAGGAATAGTGGCAGTCTTTCTCCTCCTGGATGTTATTGATGATTCTTTTAGTGCTCCACTATTGCTATGATTTTGTTGATTGGCTAAAATTAATATTTTTCCGCATGCTTAAAGAAAGAGCTTTCTGAGCTTATTGAGCTTTGCCTCCCACTCCCAGCTTTATTGAGGTGTAATTGACAAATGAAATTGTAATATATTTAGAGTGTGCAATGTGGTCCTTTGATATATGTATACATTGCAAAATGATTACCACAATCAGGTTAGTTAACACATTTATCAGCTCACATGGTCACTTTTTTTGTGTGGTGAGAACAAATATACTCTCTTAGCAAATTTTAAGTATTCAAAACAGTATTATTAACTATAATCACCATGCTGTACATTAGATCTTTAGAACTTACTCATTTTTTAAAAATATGTTTTTCTTTATTGATTTTAGAGAGAGAGGGAGAGGGGAAGAGACAGAGAGAGAGAAACATCAATGTGAGAGAGACACATTGATTGGTTGCCTCCTGTATGTACCCCAACTGGGGATTGAACCCGCGACCTGGGTATGTGCCTTGACGGGGAATCGAACCAGCAACCTTTTGGTGCATGAGATGATGCCCAACCAACTGAGCCACACCGGCCAGGGCTAGAACTTGCTCATTTTATAACTGAAAGTTTATATCCTTGGACCAACATCTCCCCATTCCCCAGTTTTACTTCTTCCTTTAAGGATTGGGTGCCTTTTACTTCATTTTCTTTTCTGATTGCTCTGGCTAAGATATCCAGTACCATGTTGAATAGGGGTGGTAAGAGTAGTCACCCTTGTCTTGTTCCTATCTTAGAGGGAATGCTTTCAACCTTTCACCATTGAGTGTGATGTTGGCTGTGGGTTTGTTATATATGGCCTTTATTATGTTGAGGTATGTTCCTTTGTATGCAATTTGTTGACAAGTTTTTATCATAAAAGGCTATTGAGTTTTGTCATATTGTTTTTGACTCTACTGAAATGATCATATTATTTTTATTTTTATTTTTATTTTGGTAATGTGGTGTATAGCATTTATTGATTTGAATCGCATTTATGGTGAACCGTCTTTGCATCCCGGGACTAAATCTTGCTTGATCATTGTGTGTGATCCTTTTAATATATTGTTGAATATGGTTTACTAATATTTTGTTACGGATTTTTACCTCTGTGTTCATCAGGAATATTGGTCTATAGTTTTCTTATAGTGTCCTTTTCTGGCTGTGGTATCAGGGTAATGCTGACCTTGTAAAATCACTTTGGAAATGTCCCTTCTCTTCAAGTTTTTGGAAGAGCTTGAGAAGGATTGGCATTAATTATTCTTAAAATTTTTGGTAGAATTCATGAGTGAAACCATCTGGTCCTATGCTTTTCTTTATTGGGAGGTTTTTTGATTACTGATCATCATCTTGTTACCGGTCTGTTTGTATTTTCTGTATCTTTATGATTCTGTATTATATAGTAAGAAGATTGCTCTGTGTTTTTAAGTACAGTTATATTTCAGATTTTGTTATCAAAATTATAATAAATTTGTAAAAATTTTTGAGAAGCTATCTCTGTAGTTAGGAATATAAAAAATGGCATAGGAATTAATAGTTCTTTCATATCTGAAATATTTTTAAGTGAAATCAGTTGAGCCTGACACTTTTGTGGGAAGTATTTTTTGGATATATTTTCTAGTTTCTTCCATCATTATTCCTGTGTTCAAGTTTTCTGCTTCTTGAGTCAGTTTGCTGGTTTTGTATTTTGATCCTTAATGACCAATGACTTTGTAAATCTTTTCATGTGCTTATTGGCCATTTGTATATCCTCTTTGGAAAAATGTTGGTTCAAACCCTTGGCCTATTTTTTAGTGGGGTTGTTTGTTGTTTCATTATGGACTTGTGACAGTTTTTTATATATTCTAAATGCAAGTCTTTTATCAGATACAAGATTTGTAAATATTTTCTCCCATTCTGTCAATTGTCTTTTCACTTTTTTAATGGTATCATTTGAAGCTTTTAATTTTGATGAGCTCCTAACACCAGGTCATGAAGATTTACTCCTACATTTTCTTCTAAGAATTTTATTATTTTAGCTCTCACACTTGGATCTATAATTCATTTTGAGTTAGTATTTGTATTTGGCATGATGTAGGGGTCCAACTTTATTCTTCTGCATGTAGATGTCTAATTGTCCCAGCACTGTCTGTTAGAAAGGCTATTTCTTCTCTGTCATCCATTGAATTTGAATGTTTAAGTCGGATTTTGCTTTAGAGCTCAATTAGAGTGTCTTTGTCTTTTAACTTAATTTAAAAGAGGAGTTTAGCCTGTTTACATGTATTATTATTGCTGACATATTTATAAGTCTTACTTTGAAATATTATTTAGATCTTCTGGTTGTTATGTTTTCTTTTTCCTTTTATGCTATATATTATCACTCTGTGTAACCTTGTAAAACAGGGATTGCCTTTCCTTCAGGTTTACATGATAAGTGTTTTTATCTGTTTTATTTCTTCTTGCTGATAGGAAGAAACTCTCGATATTCCTTTAAAAACCATTTATACCACTCATTGAGAGTTACATTTCAAGTTGCATTAAGAGTAGGTATACAGTTCACTAGTATAAACATAAATGATTGTGTTATGAACTTTTTAAGGACAATGAAATATGATGGTAGGTATTCAGAGGGTTTGATTAAAAAATGAAATGTCTCATGTTAATGTATTCTAATAATAAACATATTAGACATAAATAAGACACTGTTGCCTTATTTAATAATTATTTTTTACTTAGCCTTATTTAGTAACTATTCTTTTTACTTCTGGAAAATCATCCAGTGCTTGAAATATGTATATCACCAAAGCTCAAAGAATTATATACAGCAAGATAGTGTTGTTTACCATTACTACAAATATAAATGAAATTAAAGCTCTTGAAATATATTTTTCTCTTTTCACACTTTATTATATAGGAAGCATATTCTTTAATTAAGAAGATTGAAGTAGAACAAAATGCCCTATATTTGTATCAGAAAAATGTGGAAAGTTCAAAAAGAAAGAAAAGCAAGGTCCCTCCTCCACCTATCCTGCTGTCCCGAACTCATTGTTCTGTGACATTGAAACCTGCTCCATTTATTTCAGATGTTAAGGTATGTTGTCCACTATGATCTTTACCAGAGGCACAGCAACATAAGTACTTGTATGACTATAATGATTGATACTTCTATTGCGTTTAGGGCTTGACTAGTCTTATTTATAAGCATTGAACACTGGGATTAGTATTCTGATGTCTTTAGTTTCTTCATGACCTGTTTCTTTTTATGCTATTTCCCTTTATGCTCCATATAGTCCTGCTATACCCATGTATATAGTACAGAGAAACAATAGGCAAGCATTTCTAAGTATTTTCGTCACCATGACATAGTCATATGCTGTCATTCTAGCGGGACACTTGAAGAGGGTAGAAGAGCCAGTGACAGAGATGAGGAAATGTGAGGATGGTGAACTTAGAGGCTCTTTCCATAGTTCTTGCAAATAAATGAGGAGTTTTGTGTGTTTTTTTAATGCAAACAAATGACAATTTCAGCCATATTATAAATAATAAATTTTTATGTATTTATTGAAGAATGAGCTCTATCTCCCATCCCCAGGGCCTTGGAACTCAGCCTAAATGCAACTGTAACTTGAGATTTAGTTTCCTCACAAGCATTTGGTTCCACCTAATTTATATTTTAAATATTACCTTTTCCTTTTTTGGATAATCAGCAACATGCTCTTCGATATTATATAAAGAATAAAGTTGTACCTTTGAGTCTCTTTAGGATGTTCCACTTGAATTTATATTTATTGACTTGATATAGTGGAAAGGTCATGGTCTTTAAAGTCAGACAGATATAGGGTTAAAATTCTAGCTCCACCCATTGCTAGCAGTGTTACCTTAGGAATCTAAATATGCTTCCTGAGGTGTTTTGTGTTTTTGTTGTGCTTTCATTTGTAGAATATGTTTACTGTGAAAATTAAATGAGGTATTATATTATATTCTTGGTATATTAACTGTTGTTCCCCCATAAACATATGTAGTAAAGTTTGCCAAAAACAATTAATGATGTTATAGACCGTGGTTACATGCTTTCATGATTTTTTTCATAAATTTTGTCCAGTGAGCATTGAATATCTAGTATCTATCAAGCTCTGTGTAAGGTAATTAAAAATAAATAAAACATGGTTCTAGTTGTTTGAGGAGCTTTAAACTGCTGGTAGATGGATGTCAGTGAGAAGTAATACCCCCTTCACAGTGCTTTATAATTGGGGGAATAGAAGTAGCTTTCATCTTATACCTGACTGTGCTATAAGAAATGCATTGTTTCAATCGCTAGCAGCTCTGCAATTCAACTTTGGATTTTTTGGATCTGTTGAAAGAATAAGATGTCACTGATTTTGGAAATACAGTGCAGAACTAAGACTGGATGATTTACCAAGAGTTTTTGTTGTTGTTTTTCAAATGTTTTGGTTTATTTTACCAAAATCTTATTTTTTATGTATTTCAAATTAGTGACTAGTTTATTTCATAATGCTTAGAAATAGAAAGACATGAGTCTCACATTTGACTTGTAGTTGTTGGACTTGTCACTTAGCACATTATATTAAGTTTATGTATGTAATACGTTGGCGGAGTTGTATGCTCCAGGAAATTACCTTCTGTTTCCTACTGAGCAGCACTAGATGGTGCTGTGGGCTTAAATTCATTTTCTGGTTTGAGGATTCAGCCATCTTTTGTTTGATCAAAATCACTGTTAAGGTATTTGTTTCATTAAAATCTATTTTAATAGTTGACAGTGCTGATGTTATTTATATAGGTTTACTTCTAAAGGTAGTGATGATCTGTTATCATGTCATTGCTCTTATGTAGATTCTAATCACACATTGCTTCTTATAATTAATTACACAAACTAAGATGTTTTCATCTGTGGAACAAATGATGAATAGAGCCTGCTTGTAAATATGCTTTTAGAGAGAATTTTACCCTTCAAATTTTGGTTGATAAATAGAGCTTGACTCTTAGGGCAGTAATGTTTCAAGTCATAAAAATAGTCTTTCTGCCTTTTTTTTTTTCTTTCTATGAAAATGGTACTTTATTTGTTGGGAAGTCAACGAAAGCTAGTTTCTCATTTTTGTGTGAGATTCATTTGATTTCTTTTCCTGTCCTCCAGCTTCCAAGTTTCTTCAATGCTCTCTCTGTCCTTAGAGTTCTCCTGCCTTTGTATAGTGCTCCTTAATCACTTGAAAATGTTTTGGAAACACAAAGGTTTGTTCACCTGCACCAGAAATTCTTCTTCACCGAGGCTGTGTAGGCTTGGGTATATGTAATTTTTTAAAATGGTTGATTCTGTGCAAGGCATATTTTAAAAAGTGATTCTGCTGCATAGTCAGAGTTGAGAACTACTTGCACAGACAAGACACAATTAAGATTTTTCTGAAGAAAAATCTAGAAGAGAGAGCAGGCTAAGCTATAAGAAGCCTTTGCTTCTTAGAGACAATTACATTTCCCTTGTCATCCAGCTTCCTTTGTAATTTAGGAGTTGAGATGTTGTGAAGTAGGATCTATGGGGTAAAGGGAATGCCACAATGACGACAATTCCTCTGCCCCTAACCCCTGGACAGTATGGTTCCTGATAATGCTAGTCCCTAAGTATCAACTTGCTCCCTTATAGTGAGAATAGTTCATTACAGTAAGGAATCTCCATAATTTTGACATTTTGGCAGAAAGACCATTGTCTAAGCATTTAATTAAGCATAAGTTTGGCTGTTTTAGTAGAATGTACGTTTTTGCTTTTGGTTATGCCTCTTTAAGAATTATCAAAAGAATATCATGTGTCAGAAAATGCATAACTAGACAAAAAAATTACCCATAATCTTACCATTTTATTATCCCAAATCTACCACTGTTCTTATTTAGGAATATTTTCTTCCAGGCTTTTTCATATGTATTTTTATATTTTATTTTAAATACAACATTTTAGTATCTTGCTTCTTTTTCACTTACTTTTTTTGTCATATGTGATTAAATAAAATACGAAAGTTATTTCAGTGTTGATCTTTTATCCCCATCAAGATTAAGTTGTCTTTGGAGTCACTCCCTGCCACTGCCTGACCTTGGGCCAGCTATTAAACATTTCTGCATCTTCTTTTCCTGTAAAGCAGAATGACAGTAGTAATCCCATCTTATAGGGCTGTTGTGAATATTAGAAAGTTTATGTAAATTTCCTAACAATACTCAGCACATAGGAACTGCTCAGTTAGTGGTAGTTAAAAGAATTAATAATGAATAATACTTTAGTCTTGTTAGTCCCAGGTAAACCAGCCCTACGTCTACCTTTAAAAAAAAAGATTAAACCTAAGTACTTTTGTAGACTTAGATGTCATGTTTTAAAACTTGCATAGTTGCTCTTTTATTTAGAAAAGTGTTTCTTTACCACATCCTGATGAAGGAAGTTGAATGCCTTGTTAAGCAGACTACAGATGCTGGGCTTGTCTCTCTCCTCGGCAGGTGTCGTGGTACTGCATTTTGGGCTGCAAAGCAGAAGGGAGCTATGGAAAAGTAAGACTAAACAATAATCATCTCCCCAACTCAGGAGAGGCGGTATGTCAAATAAAAACACACACCTCTAAATGTCAGAAAATCTTACCCCAAATCTCATTTAATGACAAATTATTTTCCTTCTGAAGTCATTATCATTGCAGTGAATTTCTCTTACGTCAGCTTGATGATGACTGAAATCCACCAGTAAATGAAAAAGTTTTTTTACATATGAGGTTTACTTAATTATATACTTAAAGTTACACTGCTTTAATTTTCATACATAACTTGAAATATGTTTTTGTGGTTAGATACCAGCTGATGGTAAAAGCGTTTTCGAAGTGAAAGGGTTAGAAACCAATGAAAAGTATGTCTTTGCCGTTGCCGCCTACTCGTCTCATGGGAAGCTTGTCGGGGATGCTGTTGGGGAGACGACCAAGCCAGTCCTGGTCTACCCGCCTCTTTCTGCCGTGACGGCTCGCATGTACCTGACACAGGTAGAAGGGATTTCTGCTCACCTTTTTCTTTATGTGTTTTTCCATTGAGAGGTTACTAAGTAATTTCTAATGGGGGAAAAAAATCACAGCAGATATTCTAAAGCTCCTGTAATACATGTTTTCTGTTACTGCAATTTACTCTCATAAAATAGGAATCATCCCTTCTCTTATTAGTGAGTTTGCTTTTACAATAACATTTTTTCTGGATTATATACGTAACACATTAATTTTAGAAAATGTGGAAAATACTGAAATGAATAAAGAAAAAAAAAGAATGTTATCTGTTCTCCTATCATCCAGAGGAGCAGTTCTTAACCTGAGGCAATTTTGGCCCCCAGGGGACATTTATCAGTGCCTGGAGACATTTTGGGTTGTCACAATCTGGAGGGGTGCCACTGGTATCTAGTGGGTAGAAGCAAGGGATGCTGCTAAACACTGTACAATGTAAAGGACAGCCCCCCCTGTACAATGAATGATCCAGTCCAAAATATCAATAGTGCCAGTGTTGAAAGATCCAGAGATATCCTTTCATCTGTGTGTGTGTGTTATATGTACATATACACATATATGTGTATGAATTTATGTATATGTAACTTTAATCATAGTATACATATTATTTTATATTCTGATATTACCATTATATATAACTGACATTTTTCCATTCCATTAAATTATTATTTTAAAACATAATTTTTAACAGCTGCATGGTATTATCTCTCTTATAGCTAGGTCATGGTTTATTTAGTAACGTTTCGTTGGACAAATTTAGATGCTTTCCAGTCCTTTGCTATGATAAGCAAAGCTGTGATGCACATCTTTTTATATAAGTCTTAGCTTGCATTTATGATTACTTCCTTAGGATAAATATATAGAAGTGAAATTTCTGGGCTAATAGGGACAGACAGACCGGAGCTTAAATTTAGGCTCCTCACAGTAGCCATGTGATATTGGGCAAATAATCTACATCTGTGAAGCAGTTGGAATAATAATAATAGCTACCTCCCAGAGTGATTATGAGTATTAAGTGGAATTACTCTGTCAGATGTTTAAGTATAGCACTTGTCATACAGTAGGCACTTAATAAATGTTATTAATGTATTTAGTTGAGGGTATATTCATGAGTAAACATTTTTGCTGAAATGATTACCTGACTTAAAACATGTCACCAGTGAATAGGACACTAGGAATAGTGTGACTCATTGACCTAAGTCTCAAGCATCTAATTTTAAGCCTCTTATTAACTGTAGAGCTGATGGCTATTCTAAATTTTATTACATTTTTATTGTGCTATTTTTTTCTTTTAATAGTTAATTAGTATTATAAGTTAAGATCTTAGTGCTTTTTATATTATCATATTTTTCAAAGAAAATTAAATTGAGAGAACTGCTAGGATTTGCCTGGCATTGGTTTTGCATGTCATATTGGCTCCTGGTTTTCTAATGTTTTGATTTCTTTGGAATCTAATATGTTCCCTAATTTACAGTGATGGAGTTATTTCAAAATGAGGAGAATAGCATATTTTATCAAGGCCTAATTTTTCTCCAGGGAGTGGTTTGACTCTTGGGCTTCATTTGGCAGAACTTTCACTGAAAGTTAATAAAACTAAGTCCCAGCTATACCACTGGGATAGTAAGAAGTGTCATAAAGTAATGACCTGTGTGTCTTTATTGATACGGCATTTGCAGCACTGCAGTCCATTGATGACAGTTTACGAGCGTTCCATCTCATAATGTTAAGTGGCTAAAGCAACATCTCACTTAGTAATAAATCTCCTTATTTACAAAAGCTTCAAGGTTCTAGCCAGAAACTGTACCTTTCTCTTGGAATTGCAGTCTGTTTTTATGAGAGTGATTAGTTTTTAGTTTCAGGGTAGTTCTGTTCTTTAGGAAACATTATAAACATTCTTGTAGTAAGACACGGAGGTGTTTTACTAAATGCCTATTGTTCACTTGGCTTGTGGTTTTAGGTTGCACTTTCACTCAGCATTATTCTTTAGACATTAATACATTCAGGTGAATCTCCACTAGGGTTTCCCTTAATGCAGTACTTAAGCTGTCTGGGAAATTTTTTGAGGAACATGTATGATGATATATTTTCTGTGGATATTTTCCAGTTCCCCCCTCTTTATAGCCTTATTTCTTTTTATTCTTCCCCTTTAAGTTGGGAATGGCTAGGTAATGTGATACAAAATGTAGAAAATTAGGAATCTGTGAGCTGATTTTAGGCAGATTTCTTGGCCTCCATTTCCCTATCTGTAAAATGGATTTATGACAGAAGGCCATGTACTGAACTATTAAATCAAATAGTGAGTGGGCACAATGGCTGGTTGAGCAAAGGAGGTGTGGAATATCCTTTATTAAAAACTATTGTGTGACAGGCATTTAAAAATTCATCATTCCCTTTATTACAATTACTCTATGAGGGGGTATTATCACTTCCATTTTATAGCTGAGGAGATGGAGATTAATTTAATTCTTCCCCTGCCAGTCCCAGTTAATTCCAGAAAAGGTGTCTCAGGGAGGTTAAGTAATTTACCTAGGGTTACTTGGGTAGCAGATGGTAAGCCTGACACTTGAACCAGCTCATTCCTTTTTTATTGCTCTGTGCAGGTTCCAAAGAAGTCATGTGTTCAACACCTAAAATGTGCCCATTTCTTCTGGAGCTGACACCTCTCCCATCTTTTCTCTGCTTGGGTTTGGTGGTGTTTAGGAGGTCTTGCTAATCAGTGTTGGCAGCAGAATTTGGGGCTGCGACACGAGTGCTTTGTCAGTAATCACAATGGTGGCAGGAGAAAGGGAAATAAAGTTCATATATTTTTTCCCATTTTATATATGAATTTATTGAAAATATTTGATTAAGAGGTTTGCCTTTTGCCTATGACCATTGAAAAAATAAAAGAAAAATCTATCAGGTAAAAAAGATAGTTATCCCCATTTTTAAGCTCTTTAAGCTCTTCCCTCTCATCCTCTAAATATTACTACTCTCTCTACTCATCTGTTTATTGATGAATTATTTATTCACTCTCTGTTTTGTGCCAGGTACTATGCTAGACATCATCTCTTCTTCCTTTGAAGTATATATATATATTTATCAATCTCATTACCACAACAGTAGCCCTTGTTTAGATAATTTTGGTTTCAATTAAGACTTTGCAAGTAAGGGAACCAGCCTGGCTTGGGGAATGCACCCCCGGAAGGCTGCACAGTCCAGGCAGCTCTAGGTCTTAAACCACTGATTCTCTCCATACACCTGCTTTCTGTTTCTTTCTCTAAAGATTGAGTTTCTAAATTTATTGACGAATTATTTATTCACTCTCTGTTTTGTGCCAGGTACTATGCTAGACGTCATCTCTTCTTCCTATATCCAAAGATAGAGAGGTAAAGAAACTCAGTCTTTATATATCCCTTAAATTCAGCTATAAACAGAGACCAGCTAGCTGGTTCCTAATCTCGATTCCAAATTCCTGGGAAAGAGACTGATTGGCTTGCCTAATGCCCTCATTTTCCATCTGTGACCGCTGACTTGGTTTTAAACCTCACCCCTCTTTTCCTTCGGCCGCACAGTTCGGCAGACTGGTGGGGAGGTCTGTGGGCTCACCTCGCCTTTGGTGCCCCCAGGAAGTTTAAACCTCCCAGCTGGCGGGAACTGTCCTTATTCCCACCCCCCAGCCACTAATCAAGGGCCAACCTATTCCTTCTGTTTGGTCCAAGCCAGCCCGGACCTGCTCGTGCCTGCCAGGCTCTCCCTGTGAGTAATAACTTTTCTCTCAAATTTGCCAAGTGTGTCCAGGTCATCAGCCAAACTTCAGAACCAAACTTAGGGTGGGGTCCATCTTGCTTTGAAGCGGGGGCTGTAAAACACTTAGCTTAGGTCAGGCACTCACCCTGGGCCAGTCAACCGTGTTGTAGTACAGTGCCACCTCTGGGTGTCCTTTTCTGTAGGTAGAGGAAAATGGTTGGGAAAAGATGCATTCAACACATTATTTCATTCATTTAACACATTACTAAGGAATGCTTACTCTGCGCCACGCATTGCTCCAGGCTAGTGCTTCAAAACCCCGGAGCGCGGCAGTGATCTGGAGCGCCAGCTACACAGGTTGCAGGTCCTCCCGCCTGAGTGATTCCCTAGTCTGGGGTGGGGCCTGAGAATTTTGCCTTTCGAACAAGTTCCTAGGAGATGCTGATGCTGATGGTCATGGACCATACTTTGAGAACTACTGTTCTAAGCAAAGTGAACAAAATTCCATGGTGAGAGATAGCTAATAAACAATGAACATAGTGAGATTTGAGTCTCGGCTCCACTGTTTCTACTGAATGTCAGCTTCTGTACAAATTATTCAACTTCTCAATGCCCCAGTGTCCTCATCTGAAAAACAGGGATGGTAAGAGAGCTTAATTAATAGAGCTGTAATGAAGTCAGTACAGTAATGCATGTAAAGTGCTTGGTTCGATACTTGACATCTTTAAATACTTCTACCTGGTTTTCAGGACCTTCTGAAACCAGGTCCCACTTTACCTGTCCAGTAGTGTTGCCTGCTTTCCTCCAAATCCTGGCTGCCTTTCCAGCTTCTCTGAACCTCACTGTTGTGATCTCCACTGCTGGATCTCACTCAGATCTGTCTAAACTGTGCCCATCTGAATCTTCTCTCTTCCTAGGGTTCAACTCGTCTTGCCTCCTCCTTGAAGTCTTTATTTCTTTCTAAACCTCCACATTACTAAGTTATTGTTTGTAGTTTTTCTGTGATTTCATGTGTTTTATGTCTATAACATCATTACAGTTTCATGGACTATAAGAGAATTTTTAAGCTTTGAAGAATCCATGTTTGTGGTGCTTAGCACATGGTAGAAACTTCATACAAGTTTATTTATTGGTTGGTTGATTTTGAATGCTGATCTGGCAGATTTAAAAAGTCCTGTCTCTAAATTATTCCCATGAGTAGAGTATAACCTAGCATTCACATACTAATTCATTGAATTTATTTATACTTTATATTTTAGCTGTTTCCATTAAGGATTTAATCAGGATGTAACTTGTGGTGAGATTTCATATTGGTATACATATTAAAATGGAATGATTTTCAGAAATATCTTTAAAGAAATGTATTCTACAAAAGAAATATGTAGGTTGATGATTTTTTTCTTCCTAAACTTTAGGTTTTACCAGTAAAATCAGTTACTTTGCCAAAGTTGAATGTGTTCAACTTAAAATCTATCATGGCTTCTTGGAAGCGTCTCTGTTTTATTCTTCGCTCTGTTCAACTGTGAACCTTTGTTGCACAAAAGCCCCGAAAGTGTCAGTCAGAACAGAAGAGAATGAAGTATATCTCATATTTTGGGTTTGGGAAATCTGATTGTTTCTCTTGGAACAGATTGTTCATTATAACAGTGTCTATAATAAATGGAGTGTGCTGCTGAGATAGATGGAAATGAAATTAATTTGGCTCAGATGTGATCTTTGTTTTGCTTATGAGAATTTGAAACATCCTTACAGAGTTTCAAATTTCCATGCAATTTAGAAAGAAAAGAGATTTCAAAATGTGTCTGTCTCCCTTGCCGGTGGCCGTCATTACCTTCCTGAGCCCATAGAACAGAGCAGCAAATGTAAATAACTGTATATGAAATTAGTGTGTGATAGAACCTTATAGGAATTCTTGTTTAAAATGTATGTTTCACAAATAAAAATATTGCATAAGATAATGTGCTTTCTATTGTAGGTTGCCTATCAGACTGGTAACTATGAGTTGGCTAAGAAAGTTTTCTCACCAGTCTGGGATTACTTTGTCACTTCTCCGCCTCACAATGAACAATCTGTTATTTCTTTAAGCAATATAATAACTATTACACAGAGAAGGTAATTAGAAATATTCATTTAAAATGTTAATTTGCTTTTTGAAATTAAATGTTGGATGTGAAGCCTAGAATTAGTTTATTTTCAATTTCATGTTAAGATAGTCCATATAAAACTGTTTCCAATCAGTTTTTAATAAGCATGTACATTTCAAGGTCTCTAGTCCTTGTTAGAAACTTCTTTGCTAGAATCAGAAAAAAACCTGCAGGCATATGGATGCATTCTGAATATAAGTTAGTGGAAATTATATTAAAAAAATACCAAACACTGCCCCGCCGGTGTGGCTCAGCGGTTGAGCATCGATGTATGATCCTGGAGATCCTGGTTCGATTCCTGGTCAGGACACATGCCCGGGTTGCAGGCTCGATCCGCAGTAGGGGACCTGCAGGAGGCAGCTGATCAGTGACTCTCTCATCACTGATGTTTCTATTTCTCCGTCTCCCTGTCCCTCTCCCTCCTCTCTCTGAAATCAATAAAGGCAAAAAAAAAAAAAAACAGAGAGAGAGAGAACAGCCTGCCTGCCTGTGTTCAGTATCTGTGGTATACATTAAGAAAAAAACACACAAAAAAAACAAAACAAACACTAACCAAGGTAATGTCAATTATACTGTAAAACACAAATATCATTGAGAATTTTTATATCAGAGGAAGGTAAGGTTGAGGTTAAGGTTAGGGTCTGATGGATGAGTAGACTATTGAGGTAAAAGGCTTTCCTTTGCTTAAAGAGGCTCCCAGGATTAGACCATCAGCAACTGCAAATAGGCCAGTAGAAGCCATATATAAAACTACAGGCCATCCTTTGCTTTACAGCCATTTTTTTCTTAAAAGAACAAAGTTTAAGAGAAGCTTAAGAAATGAGCATTGGTGTGATTTCAGGCTGTATTAACAAGTTCAAAAACAACAGTCTCCTTCACCTGCTTGTTAATGCCTGAAATTTCTTTTGTAAGACGACAAAACCCTTTACTCCTCCATCAAAGATAATGAGCTTCAAGTGCAAATTCTGGTTGAGTAAAGGCATTGGTAATGCTTATTCACATTTAGGTATAGTTAACTTAAAAATGTAGACTTAGCGTTTACTATGTAGTAGGTGCTATGGGAGTAGGTGCTATGGGAGAGGCATGTTGGAGGAGAGACAGGATTTTGAATATCTTATGTGACTTGTGAGGATAAGAGAGAAGGAGTGAAAGTTGACTGGGATTTCCAAGGTTACCTGACTGGGAAGCCATTCACTAAGGGAACATGAGAGATGGAACAAGTTTTTAGATGAATATAATGAATTGGATTGAAAATATTTTGAGTTTAGTTTTCCAGCAGGACACCTTTGTAGATATGAGATATCCAGTAGGTAGTCGGGTATTTAGTGCTGACATCTCAGGAGAAGGGGTCAAGGCCAGTCCCTCCCCTCCCCTCCC